GCCCGCCCCTCCCGTCCAGCTCAGCTCAGCTCCGGGAAGGCTCTGACGAAATCCCGAGTGCGGTGGGAGCTGGGTTGGGTGTGGAACACCCGGGGTGAGCGGTGCCTGCTCCGCCAGTGAGCCCTGGCATCATCCCCTGACACCCCCTGCCTCAGCCTCGCCTTCTCAGCGTCACTCTGCGCCTCCCAGGAAAGGCTCCCCTCCCTCCAAAGCTGCCAAGTCCCGAAGGAAAAGACCCGAACCAAAAAGGGCAGGAAGGGGAATGTCCCAGGCCGAGGAAGGGGCAGCCAGCAGCTGCCGACCTGCACCTTCCTGCTTCCATTTGTTATCCAGGAAACAGCGATGTCTCCACTGAGAAGCTCAAACTTATCCCTTCTACGGTTTTTTTTTATTTTTTAATTTCCACTTTATTTTCCTTTCCCATACAATTTAAGCTCCAAGAAGATGTTACAAAGGCGTTTGCCCTGAGACGCAGAGGTGTTTTCCTAAGGGAGGAATCCAGCACCTTGGATAACGCATTCCTTTGGAACACTTGTAAACACGGTGACAAATTCCATGGAGATACCCTGGCTCCACTTTTACAGCTCACTGGCCTGAGGGGGATGGTGGCTGCATAAGGCAAAAGGAATCTGTTAACAGGAAAAAACCCTACCTTTGAATTCTGGGGAATTCTCCTGTATTAGCTTAGGGCAGTGACCTTGGCACGGGGCAGGAAGATGCTGAAAGGTTTTTGGCAAAGGCTCCGCATCCTGCCGAGCCCTGCAGGGAGTGGTTCCCCACAGAACCAAGAGCTGCAGCTCGGTGAGATGCTCTGGCTCACGGGCTGAACCCTTGAGCCAGGCTGTTTCCTGCTTCAGGAGAGAGCAGGAGACATCTGCACCCCGTGTCCGTGCCCAGGCTCAGCCCTGCCCCTGCTGCACCCACATTTCTGCCCTGTTTTCCCCAGGAACCGAGCGGCAGCTGAGCCCCACGATAGCGGCTCTGTGCCCGCCCGGCCACCGAGGGCCCCCGGCTTTATCTGGCTCTGCCATCCCTCCCTGCAGTGCAGAAATCAGCCCGAGCAGCTGCTGGCAGCACAGGGGAGCAGCCTGAGCAGAGCTGCTGCAGGGCTGGGGCAGCAGGGTTTAGGGAGGTGTTACTCCAGCTGCTTTTTCCAGACCACTTCCCAGAAAAGTCCTGCATGGGTTTGCTTTCCTCTCTTACTGCTTTTTAAAAAAAATATATAATCCACTTAAACTTGTTATGGATGGCATTTAGAAAATGAATGTTCAGAGTGATAGAGACTGATCGTGGAATCTGAGCATTGCCAGGATATACCTTAAAGCTGATTGCTTCTTGAAAAAGAGAATGAAATACGACGAGAAAACAGCAGGGGATTGAATTCACACACTGCCCTTTATAAACAATTACCATTTATTACTAAATAGAAATAAAACCCCAGAAAGGCTTTGGGAGTTTCAGCTCTTTACAGGACAAAATTGGGGTAGGCAGCCGAAAGAACACACACGACTTTCCCCATCCCTCTGTTGCAGGGTGGATATTTTAGGAGTTGGAGATCTGCAGGGTGGGGAGGATATTCAGGAGTTGTAATTCTGTGTCTGTGCGTGGTTGATGTGCTCACAGCAGGACTGAGCTGCCTCCCTCCCTCTGGAAAGCAGAAGTGGCTCCTTTACCTTAGGAGATCAGAGGTGCCCGACCCACACTTGGCTTTATCTTCCTGGAGTAGAAATAAAACTTCAAGGAGCTTTGGGCTGGTACAAGAAGCAGATTTTGCTAAAGAAAGGGCTTAAACCTCTCAAGATATAAAGATCAAACAATGTAAGGTCCCAAGTACCTTGGTTTCCTAAAAGAAATGAGCTTAAACTCTGCAGGACAGGGAAGTCCGTGCTTTGCTTTTCAGCCCCGCCAGCAGCTGGATCCACAGCTGGATCCGCTGCAGCCAGGAATTCCTGCGAAGTTACGGGAGCAGCTCAGCTCCCCAGGGAGGCTGGGGCTGTGTTTAGGGTTTGTTGTGGTGTTTCCCGAGAGCAGAAAACCTGCGGCCCTGGAAACACAGCATCAGGCTGGGCGGGGCACAGCCGGGCTCTGGAGCAACTTCTGCAGGAGCTCTGGGGGTTTCTGGGACAACGCAGGCTCGGAAATTCTGGTGGGATCAGCAGGAATCACGGCTGGAGTGGGGATGCTGGAAGGAAATCCTGAAAGGAAAACCCAGATGGGAGGAGCAGATATGGAAACCTGCCAGTGCTTGCAGGAGTAATTTTCAATCCTTTTCTTGGAATGCTGAAACATCATCATTAAAAAATTACAATTGATAGGTGGGACAGACCTGATTTAGGTCATCTTTTATCTTAAAGCAAGGTGTAAGAGTCCTGAGAAGCGTGACCAGTGCATGGGGCACTTTTGGAACAGATCAGGAGCGGTAAAAGATTTTCTGGTTTTGACCCAAAAGACAAAACTCAGCTTGACCCTGACACCAGAGAAAAACCTTTCACCATCCCCCAGTTGGGTGTTGAGATCCTCCAGTGGGGGCTGTGTCTTCCTCACCTACAGTGACACAATTGTGTGTCCCAGCAGTGCCCACAAAGCCAACACTCACCCTTTTCACGGATAAAATCCTCCTTTGCAGCGGGTGGGGAATTTGGAGGACCAGAATTTCCACCACATCCAGCTTCTCCTGGCTGTGCACCACCTCCCTGTGGTGTGCAACAAGGTTGGCATCAGCACCTCAGAGCCCTGGCACTCTCAGGGTAAAAAATTCTCTCTTGCTTTTCAAAATGCCCAAAAAATGAGTTAAAAAAAACCAAAACAAATTGTAATAATGTGAGGGCAAGGAAATAATTGATAAATTAAAATGTATTCCAGACAAAGAAAAGCTTTTTAAGATAACAGGAGGTCGGTGCAGTCAAAGCTGAGCTGTGAACCAGATGCCCCAACCAGCAAAAAAATATAAATTAAACAGAGAAAACTTACAGAAGAAAAGAACATGAGAAGAAACCCACTCACTTCTACAAAATGATGGAAATTTGGATCGTTTTAACTTTTGAAAGCAGCCAGGTGAGGGAAGGATCCCCAGGTGCTTCGGAGGACACATGGCTCCTTTGCTGGCCCCAGAATAGGATTTTGGGGATTTGTACAAAGGCAGAACAAATCTGAACCCTGAGGCAGCCCGGTTCCTGCTCACTGGAGAGAAATGTGGGAGGAAAAATGAAAGCTCCGGGTTTTAGGGATGGGAGGAAGTCCCAGTGATGCCCCTCCAGGACTGACCTGGTTTCCTGAAGGAAGACTGGGAGGAGGAGATGGTGTTTTGGAGCGCCTTTTTATAGAGGCTGAGCTTCATCTCCCACCTGAGACCCTTCCTAGAGGCTTGGATTCCATTTCCCTGGGGAGCTGAGAAACCGAAATTCGCGGGGTGAAATTCATCGGGCGGAGATGAATCTTTGAAACCACCTCATCTTTGGTGGAGAAAGGCGATAAAGGAGAAAAATAAAAAGGTTTTGGTTCAACGTGGAGTCATTTCAACTCACTTTTGGGAGAAGCTCTGCTCTCCATGCCTTTTGCTCCAAGTTTGACAGCTGAGCTTCTCTCTAGGGGACAGAGAGGGATTGTTGCTCGGAGCACTCTGCTCCAGCACTGCCTTTTCCCCTTGAAAATTTCCTTACGGCTTTTATTTGACCCCTCCTGCACTTCAGACCCACAATAGTTTATGCTGGTTTGTCCTAAATACCAAACTCATAATGAATAGTAAATAGTAAGTAATAATAAATAATAAATAATAATCATTAAATAGTAAATAGTAAATAATAAATGGTAAATAGTACATAATAAATAGTAAATAATAAAGAGTAAATAGTAAATAATAAATAGTAAATAATGAAGAATAAATAGTAAATAATAAATAGTAAATAGTTAATAGTTAATAGTAAATGATAAATAATAAATAGTAAATAATAATCAATAAATAGTAAATAGTAAATAATAAAGAAGAAATAGTAAATAATAAAGAATAAATAGTAAATAGTTAATAGTTCCTAGTGAATAGTAAATAGTAAATAAATGATAAATAATAAATAAAAATAAAAAAAATAATAAATAGTAAATAACAAATGATAAATGATAAATAATAAATAATAAATAACAAATAATAACTAATAAGTAATAAATAATAAATAATAAGTAATAAGTAATAAAAATAAGAAATAATAATAAATAATAAATAATAATTAATAAATAATAAATAATAAATAATAAATAATAAATAATAAATAATAAAAATACTAAATACTAAATACTAAATACTAAATAATAAATAATAAATAATAAATAATAAATAATAAAAATACTAAATACTAAATACTAAATACTAAATACTAAATACTAAATACTAAATAATAAATAATAAATAATAAATAATAAATAATAAATAATAAATAATAAATATTAAATAAAAAATAAAAAATAAAAATTAATAAATAATAAATAATAAATAATGGTATCAGACACTGCACTCAGATGAAAGCACCTTTGCACTCGGGCACGGCACCGCTCCAGACCCCGCTGGTTCCATCCCTGCTCTGACAGCGGATGCTCCCATTCCCGAGCAGCTGGAAGTCGGGCTCACAGCTGTAGGTCACCGTGGAGTTATAAGCAAAAATTTCAGCGCCTTCCCCATCGTGTCTGCCGTGGCTGATCGGAGGAGGTGGAGAGCAGGTGATTACTGCAGGAGAGAAGGACAATGTGTTGGCTAAAACTTTAATAAAATATATCAAATTTGAGTCTTCCTAAGGCTCTTGCAGATAAACTTTGGGCAGTGAAGGTGACCAGCACTGGATGGGTGAAGCTGCCTGTCCCAGTTTCCTCTCGTTTGGCCCCAAAGTTTCTCTTCCCACACCTTTCTCCCTCTCCCAGCACGGCCACAACAAATAAACAGCAATTTTCCATGCTCAGGATTCCTGGAAATCTCACCCCATCGCCTTCAGTCATGACAGAAATGTTGATTTTGTGGGAGCAAAGCTGCTGAAATGGTGTCAGCAACAGAATGGGAATTTCTCAGCTGTTGGGGACAGATCAGCCACAGAGCATCAACAAAAACAATCCCAAGAGAGGTTTGGGCTGGAATTGGGATGCAGGATCTGCTGGAGTGAAGTAGAAAGGTTTAATCTCATAATTAAAAATGAATCTCACATTCACAAGTTGGAAGTTCGCTCCATTCAACATCGTTTCCTTTCAGCTGGCACTGGATGAAATTATTCCCAACTAATTTGTACCTAAAATACACGAGAGAAAATCTCTGTAACTGTCCAGAACCTGGGAATATTTCCCACCGTGACCAGGAGTGTAGGAAAGGCAGCTCCAAACAAGCAGCGATGATGGTTAACAGGAGAACTCCTGCCAGGGTCTGTGCTCATCTGTTTTAGGTGATTCCCTGCTCTGATTCTGCATTTCCCATGCCAGGGAAGGGAGAGTTTGGATCTCTCTGGGAATGGCAGGCAGGGCTGAGCTGAGGGCTGGATTCCCACACGGATTTGCTGAATCAGGGACTCAATTCCTGCCTGCTCCTGGCCCACAGCAGTGCTGGGATTGGCTCTGTCCCCACCCAGGGCCTTTCCCACGCTGCTGTCCCCTCAGGGATGAGGTGACGAGGGACAGGCTCCGTGCTGAGCACACACAGCACCTCCAAAGGCTGGGCTCAGCCCCGGCTGCTGCTCACCAGGGTCCCTGATGGGCTCCCCAGTGTCCCCCAGTGTCCCCCAGTGTCCCCCAGTGCCACCTCCTGCCCAACACCTGCTTTGGGGTGCCAGGTGCAGCCGTTTTGCTGAAGCTTTGTTGGAAAACCGGCTGGCAGCACGCTGCTGGGGCAGCTCCTCAGCTGATAAAATGCTTTCCCCAGAGACCTTGCACACTTCCCATCCCTGCAAGTGTCCAAGGCCAGGTTGGACGGGGCCTGGAGCCACCTGGGACAGGGGGAGGTGTCCCTGTCCATGGCACTGGATGAGTTTTAAGGTCTCTTCCAACCCAAACCAGTCTGGGATTCTGGGATTCGGGCAGAGCCTCCATGTACAGCAGGGATCGAGCCACATTTAATTCAAGTGGTTTCTGCCCTGGCTGGCTGGAAGCTCATGGATCTTGTTCTGGCCTCTGACACCTTCCCCATTCTGTGCAAAACCCCTCTGGACATGGTGGATGATTTCTGATCTAACAGGAGCAGCATCATCCCTCCACCCTGCTGCGGATTTCCAAAGTTTAGCTGCAGCCCAGCAGGGCGGGACACGCTGTCCTTTCCTCCAGCCACATCCCACGGGAGAGGGAAACCCCTCTGTAAAACGTGGACAAGCACAAGCCAGGTGATGCCAGCTGATTCCTGCAGGGAGGGAGGGAGGGAGGAACAGCAGCTGGAGATACAAATTCCTGTCCTCTGCATTTGGGCCCTGACTGAAAGCAGGCAGCAGCCATGAGTCAGCTCCTGACTGTGGAAATTGTGCTTCACTGCACTTTCCCAGCTGCATTTTAAAAATTCCAGTGTAAAACCACTTTCTGTTCAATATATCTCAACTATCCTAAGCTGAAATATTTTAAATAACTTGTGTGGAAGTCTAGAGCCATCAGCTGAGAGTACAACTGCTCTGGTTGGGATGGACACTTGGAGCTCCTCTGGGTGGCTCTTGGAGGAAGAGGTGGCCCTGAATCCTGGCCCTGGTGTCCACCCTGCAGCTGTGTGCCACCCTGCAGCTGTGTGCCACCCTGCAGCTGTGTGCCAGCACTCACCCATCCTCACAGGACACATCCACTCGTGCTCCCAGCTCCAGGGCCATGAGGGGCCCCGTTCTCCCCCCGGGCAGCGCTCCCAGGGCGCCGCAGGACCTCCCTGGGGGACACAAAAAAGGCTTAATGAGACCTGGGACGCAGGCTTGGAGGGTTTTCCCAAAGGCTCCAGAGTATTTTATTCCATGGGCATCCCAGCCAGGCTGGCAGGAGCCAGGCTCAGCTGTGGGGGAAGGTGGGGATCCCAAAATGCTCCAGATTCACAGAGGGGTTTCCACAGCAGTGGATCAACTGTGAAAAACCATTCCTGTCACATCACCAGCCCTAACATTCCATGGGTGTCACCAAGAGAATGTTTGGCCTCTGTGTTGGAGTTCAGTGCTAGAACAGCAAATTGGGATTTGTCCCCTGCGTGTGCCGTGCCCCACTGGAAATCCTTCAGGACCATGAAAAGGTTGGAAAAGACCTCTAAGATCACCGAGTCCAACATTCCCTAGCATGAAAATCAAAGCAAACCAGCAGAAAAAGCATAAAAAACATCACTGAAACTCCTGCTGTTCAGTCTCAGGTAGGAATGACAAGGAATATCCACCCGATTTTGTGTTAAAGGAGCTGCTGGATGATGATGACCAGGCTGCATTTCGGGATGCAGGCTGGGAGCAGCCAGGGATGCTTTTTTGGGGTGTGGGGGCAGCAGCAATACTCACTCCTGCACAGCTCAGGGGGCTGTGACCACGTCAGGTTCTCGAGGCAGGTGCTGGAGGGGGAGCTCTCCGAGGTGTTCTCGTAGCCGGGCCGGCAGACGTAGCTCACCTTGGTGCCAACGGGGAAGAAATTCCTGGTCTTGTCCTCCTTGGACAGGGCAGCGAACCTCAGCCGTGTTGGGGCAGAGCAGCTCCCTGCAGCCAGGGAAAGCTGCCCTGACAGAGCTGCCCACCAGGACAGGGCCAAACACTCCCTGGGACCACGGGAGCGCTCCTGGAGGGCTCCTGCTGCTCGTGGCAGGTTAATTCGGGCTCCTTGCTGGGATGCCAACCTGCTGCAGGCGCCAGAGCGGGGATGGAGGGGTGTAGGAGCTCGGGGAAGGGGTTAGCAGGACATGGGGAGCACCTGGACAGGCTGGGGGGCACGGGACTGACCCCTGTCCTGTCCCAGCCCCTGACTGACCCCTGTCCTGTCCCAGCCCCTGACTGACCCCTGTCCTGTCCCAGCCCCTGACTGATTTCTGTCCCAGCTCCTGTGGCCACCAGCGGCTCTGAGGGGCAGCAGTGCAGGGCAGTGGGTTTGTCCCCAGGGACAAGGACAGGAACAGGGACAGGGCCAGTGGGTTTGTCCCCAGGACAGGGACAGGGACAGTAGGTTTGTCCCCAGGACAGGGACAGGGACAGAGGGTTTGTCCCCAGGACAGGAACAGGGACAGGGACAGTGAGTTTGTCCCCAGGACAGGGGTGTTAGCCCAGGGCCATGCTGCAGATAAAAAGGATGAAGTATTTACGGCCGCAGGGCTCTGGCAGCCTGGACCAGATGCTGCCGGGCAGGCATTCCGAGGTGTCCGGCAGCCCCGGGATCCTGCGGGCTCCCTCGGCACAGGTGAAAGTCACCCTGGATCCCACCGGGAAGCTGCTGGAGCTGCTGGAGGGCCTGGAGTGGGTCATGGCAGGAGGCGGCCCGCAGTCACCTGTGGCAGGACAAGGTGCCTCAGGTGAGGAACCAGAGCGGGGCTGGGATGGCCCAGGGCTCCCCTGGGAAGGGCTCCAGCCAGGGCTGGGTCAGGGACAGCACCGAGCTCAGTCCCCGGGCTGGGGGTGGCATCACCAGCCCAGCCCCTGAGCAGCCAGCTGGGATCCGGGCAGGTGCCCCTGCTCCTTCCCCGTACTCACCACGAGCTGCAGCGATGCTGAGGAGCCCCAGCAGGGCCAGGAGCAGCACAGGGTGTCCAGAGCCCGTCCTGCAGCTCTGGGGTTCAGGGTGTCCCCCCTGTCCTGCTGCCCCAGCCCTCATTGCAGCAATTGCTGTGCTCCTCGCTCCAGCCCTGCTGCCTCCAGGGCTGTGTCAGGGCTGGGAGGGGATGCACTGCAGGCTCCACCAAGCCTCTGGAGCCATGGAAACCTTCCCAGGACACCCACGGAGCTGAAATCTCCGTCAGGAACACGGAGAGCAGCCAGGGTGGGGACAACTGTCACTCCCAGGCTCGGGGAGATCCTCCTGGTCCTCCTGCCCCATCAGGCTGGCAGTGAGCACTGACCAACACAGTTTTCCCAAAACTACGCTCCCAGAGAAGAAAAGACCCCGTTCCAGCCCCAAGCAGCCTCCAGGGTAGGAAAACACCTCCTCAGTTATTTGCTGGCAGGTAACACACCACGGATCTGCTGTCAGCAGAGGCAGTGAAGCAAATAAAGGCACTTTCCTTCTTGTTTGCTGTTCTTCCATTGCCTGACTCACTGGTAATGAGGAACGGGTGTGAGCAGCCACATCTGCGTCCTCGTTCACCCTGACATCAGCCAGGGCTGCTCGAACACCCTCGGGCTGCAACACCCAGGTTTTGTTCACACTTTGTGGGTGTCAAGCCCTGCCGAGGGAGATAAAGCCCCTGTCTGCAGTCCCAGGTGAGCTCAGGGTGGAGGGGACCCCGGTGTCACCCCAGGACAGGGAGCAGCTCTGGCAGCACCTCTTGTGGCAGAGCTCCTCACCTGGAGGTGCAGGAGCACGGGATGCATCCCAAAGCACCTTTTCTGTGCAAAATCAGAGACACCCCCAATTCCCTGGCTGTTCTTTAGGCTCTGGTACCAAACAAAGCCATTTTAATAACTTCTAAAAGCACACATCTGGCAGTGATGCTCCTGCAGGAGGCGAAGGCTTCTGCATCTCCCACCCCCTCTCCCCAAGCAGCCCAGGACTCACCTGGCTGCCAGAGCTCAGCTTTCCCCCAAAACCACTGGATCCCACTGGAAACCTGCCCAATTTACAGCCAACATGACAGCTCCACCTCCCCCCCTGGATAAACCCCCAGGAACAACCACAGCACCAGAGCCACGGGGTCTGACCGGCATTTTTGAGGAGCAGGAATGCGCTGCCTGATTCTCTGCTCCTGGCTCAATCCCAGCACCTGCCCTTGGCATTTGCTCACCAGAAATGGGGATGTGGAAGGTGCCACCAGCTCGGATAACAGGAACCTGTTCCCTGTTTAAACCCAGGGATGAGGTAACAGCAGCCTTTACAACACTCCTGGTGAGCTGCCCTAACCCAGAGGAACGGAAATCATTTAATATTTATTGCACTGCTGTTTCCAGCAGGGTGCAAACCCAAACCCCAGCTGGACCATGGCAGCACAAGCACAGAGCTCAGAGCCAGCTCTGGACTCACCTCAGCTTTTCTGGACTTCGCTCCCATTTGCCTCAGCTTACCACAGTTAAGACAGCTTTTTCTTTAAAAAGCTACATTTAATTTTTCTATGCTTCCTGATGTGAAATGTGGAACAATTTTTTAGTTAAAGAGCAAATCAAGCTTGTAGGTTAGAGCAAAACCCACTCCCTGCCCTGGCATCCAGCACAGCAAAAGCAGCCTCCCATGCCCTGGTGTTTATTTTTCTGACTCCAGGCATGCAAACATAAACCATAAAATCACCCAGAGCCCTCTCAGAGATGCTGTGACTGCACAAACTGTGAGATCACCAAAGGAAAGGTGAGTGTCGCAGGGATCCAGTTTTGTTTCAGTTTTCGAGTTCCGCCTGGAGTTTTTTAATCTCCAGGAACAGCTTCTGTATTTCCAGCAGACTTTTCAGCTCTTCTACAGGCACGCCACATTCAAAGGTCGATTTAATGTAATGAACCTCTTGGCACACATCAGCATCATCTTCTTTCACCTGTTGAACAGGAAAACAAACCCCAGAGCAGCCTGTGAGGATGGGCTGCAGCAGAGGCAGAGCCACCCCCTCCTCAGCTGCCCTGTCCCAACAGGGGCTGCATCCTCCTCAGCACCAGAAATGAAAAGCCTTTGGGAAGCTTAAGCAGATTTCATGTCAGAAACCAGGCAGGGAAAGGCTGAACCACGGCAGGGGTTGGAACTGGGTGATCTTCAAGGCTCCAACCCAAACCATTCTGCAGTTCTGTGTTACTCACACACTTGGGCAGCGGTGTCCAGCTGCCGTCAGGCAAACACGTGGCTGTCCCAGCGTCTCCCAAAGGCATCCTGGCATTGTCTGGGAGCTGGTAGCCAGGCAGGCACTCGAAGGTGACGGTTTCATTGCTCTGGTACCACCTCTCACCACCCAAAGGGTTTCTCAGCCTTCCGTAGAGCACTCGTGGTTCTGGACACAGCACTGAAAGCAAAACCCATAGAAGGCAGCTCAGCCCGAGGTCAGAAAGTTTAAGAAGGCTGAGCCAGTGCAGAGGAACTTAAAATTGTGGAGCTGTGAAATCAAGAAATACTTCTGTTCACGAGGTGAAGGTCAGAGCAGCCCCTGAGAGGTGCTGGGAGCTCGTTATGGATTTGCTGGGTTTGATTTTTGCTGATTTTGTCGCAATCCAGGCGTCCCCACGATGGGGGTGGGCATTTGGCAATAAGGGAAAGGAAAGTCACTCAACTCCTGACCTGTCTCAGGGCCTCCTTTACACACAGCTGTCGACAAAAACTCCACTGTTACCTGGAAAACAGCAGCTTTGGGAAGGCTGTTTCTTCTGCAAAGAGGGGAAAGCCCCAAGGACAGACAGAGCCAGGCAATGCTGCACCCCAACTCTCAGTGCAGGGGCTGAGCAGGGAGATTTTGGAAGCACCCCTAAATGCCCCTCACAGCTGCAGGAGAAGGGTGAAGTTAGTGAATCACTACATCCTCCCGCCGTGGGGGTTTGGGACACGGAACTGGAAGGAAAACGCAGGTTGAAAATGAAGGAGCAGACGGAGGAGGAGATGTCCCTGACCTGGCTGGCAGGTGGGCAGGGGAGGGCCCCAGGTGCCATCAGCCAGGCACTGGCTCTGGGCAGCGCCGTGCAGCCTGAAGCCTTCATCACAGGAGAAGTGCAGGAGCAGCCCATAGGGAAAGGTGAACGTCTGTGGGGTCATCCTCGCCCTCTCCACCACGGGCTTGGGGCACCGGATCACTGCGGGACAGAGCAGAGCTGGGAATGGGCTCTGGGGACAGCAGAACCTGGGCAGAGCTGCTCCTCCCCACCCCCTGATGGCCCCCGGCTGGGAGAAGCAGGGTCTGGCACTTCCAGGTGGATCATCCTGTGAAGGAAGCAGCATCTCCAGGCAGCCCTGCTCGATTTAACCCATTGTTCTGAGCGCTAACACCGCCCCAAGGGCCTGGCTCAGCCTGATCCCACACCTTGATCCTATACCTTGATCCTACACCCTGATCCCACCCCCCAATCCCATACCCTGATCCCACAGTGATCCCATACCCTGATCCCATACCCCGATCCCACCCTGATCCCATACCCTGATCCCATACCCTGATCCCACACTCTGACCCCATACCCTGATCCCACCCTGATCCCATACCCCGATCCCATACCCTGATCCCACACCCCAATCCCACACCCTGATCCCACACCCTGATCCCATACCCCGATCCCATACCCCGAT